ACATGCCAACAATGACATCGACGAGCCCACGCCAAGTTAAAAACGTAATTGGAACATAAATATACAAATATACAATGGCATGGCGCGTCCACGCCAAGTTAAAAAAGTAATTGGAACACCAATAGAATGACATGGACACGTTCACGTCAAAGTTAAAAAAATAATTGGAAGACAAATATATATGGCATGGACGCGTGCACGCCAAGTTAAAAAGTCATTGGAACACTGATATCAAATATTTGTGTTCCAATGACCTTTTACACTTTGCGTGGACGCGTCCATGCCATTGTTTATTTATGTTCCAATGGCCTTTTCAACTTGGTGTGGACGCGTCCATGCCATTGTATATTTGTGTTCCACTGACTTTTTTAACTTTGCACGCATACGTCCATGGCATGCATGTATATTTGAAGTTTTCTTCCAATAACTATTTAACTTCACATGGATGCGTCCGTGTCGTTTGTTATGTGTTTTACATATTTGGGTTGCAATGACTTTTTAACTTGTCAATATTGTTGCTTTTGGAATGGTTACATGGACTTGTTTTGAAATTAAGGACATTTTGTTGATAATTCATGTATAATAGTGTAAATAATATACGTGTATTTTGCTCTATGGAAAATACTTGCTGTATTAAAAAATTAACTTAAGCAACATTTTGTTGTCTGAATAAAGTTTTCTTGTTTTTTGTACAATTTAGCAAGCGTTATTTTTCAAAATTATGCCAATTTTAAATATTATGACAAATACGTCCGAACAGTTTTTATAGAAATAATTGTTTGTCATTTTTTATCACTAATAAAGAATTTTGACAAACGTAAATTTAGGGCCTGTTCATATGATCCCGCTTACCGGGACGTCTCGCTTACCGAGACGAATATTTCCGTGCATTCATATGGAGTATTTCGTCCCGCTTGCCGAGATGAAACTACATTGTAATTCTATAATTAGCGTATGCAAAACTTCTACATTTCAGTCAAGCAACACAAATACTTGGCGATTTTAGTGTTTTTCTTCGTTTATTTACAAGAAAAAGTATTGCTTCAGGTGGTTATTTAATACTTGTTTACAAAACAAACATAAAACCAAGTAAAAAGTGTTAAATTAAACCGGCAAGACTTGTTTCACTTCATCCCGGTAAGCGGGCTGGCGTGTTCATATGGAAAAAATTTCATCCCGCCTACCTATGATCTCGGCAAATTCAAACGAGATCTTGGCAAGCGGGCCAGCTCGCTTTCTCATATGAACACAATGCAAAATTTTATAGGAAAATAGATAGGCGGCGAGATCATCGGTAAGCGAGACGTCCCGGTAAGCGGGATCATATGAACAGGCCCTAAGTGGAACAACGCAAAATTATGCACGGATTAACGTAATTCTCCTAAGAAAGAATCTTCTTCGGAAAAAGGGGGATTAATTGAGCACAAATGTCTAACTTGGGGCTAAAATCTCGTAATAAAAAGATTTTGTGTACAATATTGCTAAATAGAATATCGCACTTAGCTCTGGAACGTGTTTTAATCTTAATAGTTGTTACATGTAGTGGAAACATTGTAATTGTTATAGAAACGGAATTTTCCAGAACATGTACATTCTATAAATATTCAATATATTAAATATAATTTCAAATTCAAACATTTTCGGGACCATTTCGTTTCGATTATAGTATTACTTATAATAGACGTTCACATTAGACCGGGACGAAAATAACTGAGACCAGTTTCAAGTCATTTCGCCGGCTGGACCGAGCCGACTGGCCTCAGACCGACATGAATTTAGACTGGGATGCATAACCTTGTCATTGGAACAACACATGCTAACAAAAGCCATCTAAAAAACCAAATTGCCTAGCAAGAGGAATAAATTAAACATTTTGTGATTTTCGTACTGGTCTCATGTAAACATGTTGACAATTTTAATTTTCATCCCGGTTTGACTTCATCCAGGTCTTATTTTAATGGGGCCTAACACAAAATTTATAAGATTTCTTGCCTTTACCAAGTAGCGAGAAGGTTAAGAAGGTGAGGGATCAATGGGAATACCTACAATGATGGCCAGTGTTCTGGAACGACATGCACAATTTTAGGGTTCCTATCTCCCAAAATAGAATTTTCCTTCCCAATATTTGTATATATATTTTAAGTGCTAATGAAACGAAATTTTCGACGGACATTTTTGTAGCTTTTTCCTTTCAGACCTTTTCACCACAAACAGAATTGAAATTGATCAATTCAAAGCCATTTTATAGCAAAAGTTGCTATGGCACTTCCTGTGCGAAATTTTTATCCGCCATGTGACGTCATAAGAATAACACGATTTGATAATAGTGTATTAAAATCACTGAGCTGTACTATAACTGGAGAACGTGCTCGGCATCAAAAGGTGAAGCCAAAAACATCTCGGATTCTTACTTTTGCTGATGCCAGAATGACGCCACTGGTCCCAAATCCTCATGATAATTACCACTGTCCAACCGGGATTCTCAGTTTCAGACGACGATTTAACCCACCTGATTTTTGCACAAAAAGGCTGAAAGTCTGCTGAAAATTTATATAAAAAACATCAAGAAAAAATGCCGAGTTGTTGAAAATTTATATAAAAAACATCAAGAAAAAAATGGAAATACCCATTGAGTGACAGCACTCTCCCCGTCACGAATAAAATTGTCTGCCATTAGACACAACATAAGAATAAAGTAGGGTGCATTGTGGCGCATTGCCACTTATCAAAGGCTTAACATATACTGGTCAACCCATTGGGTGCAGAGCTCTCCCCTTCCATTGACAAGTATATTTGTCTGCCATTTAACAGGAAAATTATATGGTGCATTGCCACTTAATTATCAAAAGAGATAATAGGAGCCCACAGTAACTCTGTTGTTCTCTCATGGGTAGGGGGGGGGGGGGGGTTACACTTACAAATGCATAATTGAAACAATTGGCTGCATTGTTTTACAATATGTTCACACTGATATTGTAATTTGTTAATTTTATTTTTAATATGCATGAAAACAATGTAATCTATTAACTATGACCATAAATCAAAATACTGTTATTAAAATTGTATTTTATGTGGGTGTAGTTAATTCAATATATTCATCAACAGTTTGTGACTTCTCCTTCCCAAATGTTGCTCAATGATGCTTTATCTCTGAAAAAAATTCATGCGAAATTAATATTATTCTAAAACATCCAGATACATTATATAATAATTACAAAACTCATTAAATTAATAATTCATGATAGTCTAGGATCTGTATATGAGATTGTATGCGTTTCATTTATCACAGGTAATCTCAACTGTTTTAGGGTAAAATGACCATGGCGGTCAACATAGCATATGTGCCAAAACCTGAATCCGGGAAGAAAGTACTGAAAATGACTACGCACTGAAACGGCACTGTCGACATAACCCTAACTTCCGAGAACAAAAAGCGATAGTTTTTCTGAAGTGCTTATAGTGTTTAGAAGGGTTGTTTTTATGGGTGGTCATTGCAAGAAAAAATTTGTCTAAGTATAATATTTTACAAGAAAATGACCATGCACCAGCCCTGGTAAATTGCTGATTATGCATAAAATAACTAATATACCTGGCAGAAATTAAACATAATTCTTATTTCCTAAAAAAATTATCATGGGGTGAAAAACTATGCTTAATTTAATATAAATATTGTTGATTTCATAAGGATTGTCATTGTTATCTTTAAATATAATACATTTTATTTCACTTACCCCCCACGGAAACACGATTTCAGCCATATTTTGCCTTCTTGTTTGCTTTTTATCGCCGAATCTGGCATATATCAGTAGTAATATAGGGGCCGATCGGGCCTTATTTTTGGGGCGGAGGAAGGGCGGAGTAGGGGCGGAGAAAGGCCGGGCGAGTGTGGTGGAGTGAGGAGGAGTGAGTAGGAGGGAGGTGGAATAATGACGTCACGCAGGCAAGTTTAGGCAAGTAATGACGTCACGCGGTCAAGTTCGGACAAAACTTGCTGAGTAGGCATTTTTTAGCGTCCCTCCACGTGTGTGATACAATATAGGGATTAAGATTTGCTTGCTATGCGTTGCTGCTAGGTACAGAAACATCTTGAGATATGTCCGTATTTTATGATAAATTTTAAGGGAATATAATTAATTTACACAGAATGTGATTTACTATTAATAGCGAGTGCGATGATTTACCATTGCAAATAATATAGCACACTGCTTATGTTACTTTAAACGATGGTTTTACAAGCGTATTTTCAAAAATATATAGTTTCATTGATAGAAACATAAATACTCTGATGGCAGCGTTGCCAGGTAAATCCCACGTGTAAAACACAAAGGTTGAAGTAATTAAGGGGATTAAGCCAAGTAAAGCTTCTGTGAAGCTTCTGTAAAACTTCTGTGAAGCTTCAGTGAAGCTTCTGTGAAGCTTCTATGAAGCTTCTGTCAAGCTTCTGTCAAGCTTCTGTGAAGCTTCACAGAAGCTTTACAGAAGCTCTGCCTGAAAGCAACTACATATGCGATAGTTATATACGTTGCTATGTGTTGCTAAGTCATTAGGAGGTGTGTAGGTAATTGAGGGATTAGGCGAACAAAAATCTGCATAACTAAGGGTATCCCAATGGATAGGTAGGGATTATTTATAACGCAGGTTTATGCCCTAAAATCGAGCGCGAGGCTTTGTGGGCAAAAATTTACACAAGAATTTAGATTGGAAACACATTTATTTCTTTAAGTACTAGAAAGTTAATAATTCTTGTCTATATAAATATAATATTATCCACTTGAGACTTTTGTCCTGTTTTTGTTTCTGACTTTAACCACTCCTTTGACCCATCATTCATTTCTGTATTGTCCACGTTCTTTGCATATTTTGTATTTGATTTTGTTCTCCTCCTGGAAGATTTTGGTTGGCGGATGGGTATATATTAGTTATCCCGCTTTTATTCCACTTTGACTGCTTTCTACTCTTCCCAACTAATCTGTACAACTCCGTTAAAACATTTTCTAAGTCTAAAGCTGTTGGCTTAGCACGAATAAGATAAGATTGTCTTTCTTGGGACGAAAGTTCATGGACGTCTGACAAATGGTTTGCCAATCTTTGTAAAGCTCGCTTGCCGCAGATGGGACAATCTTCACACTTCCAAGGCATAATGTCAAATGATAAATGTCAACTGATTCCTAACATTAAACAGTTGTGGCCCCAAAGGCCTTTTTGAAGCTTTGCCGGGACTTGGGAGGGGGTTCGAGAAATGGGTTAGGGGAAAATAGCTACCACACAAGGTCGTATATTATTTTTATAAATCAAACACAAACAACCATTAAGAGTCGATGTCACTACGATACCGTGTGTTTCTGAAAAGTCTTTTCAAAAGAAATTTTCTCTTGTCAATAGCAGCCTCTAACGCTTCCTTGCGGTCGAAATTATCATCATTGACAAAGACATCCCTGGTTTCCATAATCTTTTTGTGTATTGGATCTCTCTTTAGTTGTCTTACCCAAAGTAGACGTTCCAAATAAATATTCTGCAAATATTTACGAAGTTTTAGTAGGATAAGTAAATATGCCTTGTCTTTAGCTTCGGTTTCGTCAAAACCTTCTGCAGTGCAATTCTGCGTTAGTTCTTCGAATTCTGATAAACTTTGTTGGGTTGCTTCAGCTTTGAAAGGAGCCCATGGATCGTATTCATCACCTACTTCACTACTAATATCATCTACATTATCAGAATCACTCTTTGAAACATAATCAGTTTCCACTTCGTTGTCAGTGTTATACGAATTCTCAACATCACTCTCTGATGTAGCACTATCAGAGTCTGCAATCGTTCTCATTCTTTTCATCTTTACACTGAAACCTGTAGTAGGTTTCCAACAGTACTGTATTTCCTTCGTATATTGTTAGGTTGAAACAACTCCAACCACAACCAACCGGCGAATGATCAATTTTTAGAACAACATTACATTTTATGAAGTGGCCCTAAGGTACTCTTCTATGGCCTTGCACGCCTGGAAAAAAGTAGTCCAAAATCGCCAGAGGTGTTGTAACTTTTTAAATTTTCATCCTGATTGTACGAAATTTTCCATAAACATGGAACATATGATTCTTACAAATCGTATCGTTTTTGTTTTTCGATTTTTTATTTTTTGGCGGGAAAATGACGTCACAAACTTGGCGCCAAAAACTTAAAAATTGGCAATGACTAATATTATCTATTTATTTGGAAGACATGCTGTAGCAATCTTGAAACTGAAGTCTGTTTCGAAGTACGACCAGTCACTGCAAAGATAGAGTGATTCAAATTTCGAAAAATCCGCCATTTTGTTCTATTTTTAGTAACAAAATGGCCGATTTTTCGAATTTTGAACCATTCTATCTTTGCAGCGAATGGTCGTATTTCGAAACAGACTTCAGTTTCAAGATTGCTACAGCATGGTCTTCCAAATAAATAAATTATATTAGTCATTGCTAATTTTTAAATTTTTGGCGCCAAGTTTGTGACGTCATTTTCCTGCCAAAAAATAAAAAATCCCAAAACAAAAACGACACGATTTGTAAGAATGATATGTTCTATGTTTATTGAAAATTTCGTACAATCAGGATGAAAATTTAAAAAGTTACATCACCTCTGCCGATTTTGGACTACTTTCTGCCAGGCGTGTTGTGGCTCGATTGGTTATTGGCTGGGACACTTCCCACCAAACCTCCCAACCACTAGGATTCTAGAGAATCGGGCCACAAGGCCATAAAAAGGCCCTGGGGCCAATGTGAAAAGTGACCCCAAGGGCCTTTTGTACGGCCTTGTGGCCCGATTGGTTGGGATGCTTTCCACCACTAGGATTCTAGAGAATCGAGCCACAAGGCCATAAAATAGCCCTTGGGGCCAATGTGAAAAGTGGCCCCAAGGGCCTTTTTTATGGCCTTGTAGCCCGATGTGTTTCAAAATCTAAATTCTTGTGTAAATTTTTTCCCACAAAGCCTCGCGCCCGATTTTAAGGCATGCACCTGCGTTATAAATAGTCCCTATCTATCCATTGGGATACACTTAGTTATGGAGATTTTTGTTCGCCTAATCTCTCAATTACCTACACACCTCCTAATGACTTAGCAACACATAGCAACGTATATAACTACCGCATATGCATTGTCGCTTTCAGGAAGAGCTTCTGTAAAGCTTCTGTGAAGCTTCACAGAAGCTTCACAGAAGCTTCTATCACAGAAGCTTCACAGAAGCTTTACAGAAGCTTCACAGAAGCATCACAGAAGCTTCACAGAAGCTTTACTTGGCTTAATCCCCTTAACTACTTTAACCTTTGCATTGTGTTTTACACGTGGGAATTACCTGGCAACGCTGCCATCAGAATATTTATGTTTCTATCAATGAAACTATATATTTTTGAAAATACGCTTGTAAAACCATCGTTTAAAGTAACATGATCGAGTCATTAATGAACAACTGAAGACCGGAGTGATAGAGAGAGTCGAAGAGTCAACACCGAAATCCCTTGGAAAGGTACATTACCTGCCACATAGAGAAGTTGTTCGACCTGAAAAGTCCACCACGAAACTAAGAGTGGTATACGATGCATCTGCAAGATCAGATGGACCGTCATTAAATGATTGTCTTTATGTTGGTCCGTCATTGTTACCTTTATTATTCGACATTCTGCTTCGGTTTCGACTCCACAGAATTGCATTGGTAGCCGATATAGAAAAAGCTTTCTTGAACATTAGCATTTCTGAAGAAGATAGAGATTTTCTAAGGTTTCTGTGGGTGAATGAAATCAAGAGTGACCAACCAGATGTTGTAGTGCACCGATTTTCTCGTGTAGTTTTTGGAGTCGCGTCGAGCCCCTTCCTCTTAAATGCAACATTACAGAAACACATCAATACATACAAGAGCACCGACACGAAAATTGTGGAAAACCTGCTACAATCCCTCTACGTAGATGATTTCAATTCAGGAACAGACAACACACCGGAAGCGCTACATCAGTACTCGAGAGTAAAGGAGATAATGCATCAAGGTGGATTTAACATAAGAAAATGGAAGACAAACTGTCCTGAATTAGCACAAGTGATTAGAGAAACCGTGAATGAAGTATCAAGCACCCAAGATGCAACCCCTACAGAAACCACATGTCGTATGCCAAACAAATTCTTGGCTCCCAGCCTGATGATGAGAAAGTTCTGGGTGTAACATGGAACAACTCCTCTGATACTCTAGTTTTTCGCCTCGACAAGATGGTAAACTGCGAACCAGAGTTGTTACAACCAATTACGAGGCGTGATCTCCTCAGTTCAACTGCAAAGATTTATGACCCAATGGGATTAATCTCACCTGTTGTTCTTACGATGAAAGTTCTGTTCAAAGAAACGTGCAAGGCCGAGATAGACTGGGACATGCCGTTACCGTTAGAACTCAGTACTCGCTGGGAAGTGTGGAGAGCGAATGTGTCTAGATGTCAAGAAATTACCATTCCAAGATGTGTTATACCCGAAAACAAGGAATTGATCCAGTCCATAGAGCTTCATGGCTTTGGGGACAGTTCAAAATATGCCTATGGAGCGGTGGTGTATTTGCGAGTTGTATCTGAGCACAAGGTTCACACGAATATCATTGCATCCAAGAGTAGAGTAGCACCCTTAACCGAGCAAACCATTCCACGACTGGAACTTTTATCTGCTTTGGTTTTAGCGAGACCTATTCACTCAGTTCAGTTAGCGTTCGCAAACGTAATCAAGATAACTTCAGTTTACTGCTGGATACTTCTAAAGAATTCAAGCATTTTTTCCAAAATCGTGTGGTAGAAATCCGTAAGTTGGTGTCTGTGAGAGATTGGAGATTCTGTTCGGGACTTAACAACCCAGCAGATATTGTGTCAAGAGGTATGTTACCTTCAGAACTGGGTCAGAGCAAGTTATGGTGGAATGGACCAGACTTCTTGGTAAGAAATGATCCTGAATGGTCTAAGGACGGTGAAGAAATTATTTCTATAAACGATGAGGCTCGAGTTCAAAGTGAGAGAGAAGTCAAATCCAAACCAACTAGTGCTGCCAGATAGTCATGTGCCAATGACAATGTTACAGAAAAGCAATCGCAATTATCGTTAGAGAACATTTTGCCAAAGGAACGATACAGCACTCTTTGTAAACTGCTAAGAGTTACGAGTTATGTTCTAAGATTCATCGCAAACCTTCGGCCAAAGGTTGCCGGAACTGAACCAAATCTAAGTCGTCTTTCCCTTGAAGAAATAACAGAAGCTAAGCATATACGGTATAAGTACATACAAGGAGCGATTCAAACAATCAAAAGTTTCAAGCAAGTTCAAGCATCACTGGGTCTATTCAAGGATAATTGTGGTATCTGGAGATGTGGTGGAAGATTATCCAATGCTAATATTGAACTTTCTGCTAAACATCCAGTTTTCTTGCCCAATGATCATTGGTTTTTACCTTGTTGGTGGAAGAATGTCACAGGAGAGTAATGCACAATGGTGTAAGAGAAACACTTTGCGAAATTCGTTCAGAACATTGGATTGCGAAGGGAAGACAATTTGTCAAGAAGATTATTGCAAAATGTACTACGTGCAAGAGATACGAAGGAGGAACTTATCAAATACCACCTCAACCATCATTACCAGATTTTCGAGTTTCTGACGATTTTGCCTTCACGCGAATCGGTGTGAACTTCGCGGGTCCCGTTTATGCCAAACCAATCTTCTCAAAAGGTACGAAATCACCTGTTTTTAAGACGTATATCTGTCTATTTACGTGTGCCTCGTCACGAGCATTACATCTCGAATTGGTTCCAGATCTATCTACAAAGGCATTTATTCTCTGTTGACAGTGATTCATGTCCAGAAGAGGTATCCCAAAAATGTTTATTTCGGACAATGGAAAAACCTTTAAGGCAAACAAGCTAGCAGAATTCGCAACCAGAAATAACATCAGCTGGAAATTCAACATTGAGAGAGCCCCTTGGTGGGGAGGATTTTTTGAAAGACTTGTGAAATCGGTGAAAAGGTGCCTGAGAAAAATTGTTCGAAGAGCTAGATTGACGTACGAGGAATTGGAGACAGTCTTAGTGGAGATAGAGGGCGTTATCAACAGTCGTCCACTGACGTATGTGTATAGTGACGAAGTTTGTGAAGGTCCGTTAACACCTTCGCATTCAGTTATGGGTCGTCGCCTTCTCAGTCAAGCACCTGTCGTGAAAGATGAGACTGACACTCCTGCGGGTAATGGAAGTCTGTCGCGTCGCGCAACGAAATTATTAGAACATTTCTGGAAAAGATGGAGTCGCGAGTATTTGTTAGAGCTTAGAGAACATCATCGTGTCAAAGGAGTCAGAGGAAGTGCGAAGTCGAATCCCAAGGAAGGAGATATAGTTTGCGTGTACGAAGAGAAAACTCCAAGAAAATTCGAAGCCAGGAAGCAGCAGAGCAAACGTGGACGATAAGTACTTGTTTGTTATCGCAGATACATTATACTGTGATCATTGTTGACATTATTAACTGACATGCGTCATTTAATCGGGGGAGTGTGTATGAAATTAGACGTTATAGTTATCCAGGGATTTAGCTCCGGGGGTCTTTTGCACGGGGTCTTTTATAGCGAGCACATGGAAATTTAGTTGTTGTTCTGTTTTGTACAATTATAGTTTTTACTTTAATCTTTATCGATTTTAGTTCAATAATATACGGATTTTCCGTACAAACGTCGTCCCAGTGTCTTCTTCGTGATGGCGCGCGAAAAATGAGAAGACCCTGGCAAAGGCTGCGAAAATCTCTCCACGATTCAGTCATGGAGATTGAGTGCATGCGCTATAGCGAATTTGGCTTGGCGCTGACCAAATTGATTGCTGGCGTGCAAATTTTTCATGTCCTTTATGAGATGAGATATTTCAGTTTGGAAATATATTTTTCTTGCTATATACCTCTAGATAAGTAATTTCTCTTCAAAAATTAAGATGTCTAGAGAGAGAAAACAACAAGAATCTAGCACGTCTAATTTTATATCTTCCTGGCTGAAGAATTCGCGTTTGTCTTGTCCCAAGGCTGCCTGCACTGGCAGCCTGTCAGACAGCACTGTCGCTGTGAAGGTAATTGAAAAACTTCAATATATTATTGTTATTTATATCATAATTCAGCATATAATGGCCCTATGACTGGTGCTAATATGCCTAGAACATATATCTTTTTTAAAAAGCGCTTAGTTTTGAGAAATTATAATTTGATAATGAAAATTATACCAGTGGGCCAGAGACTCATCACTCATCCATTTTATACTGTATTTTTATACGATTTAAAAATTGTCACACTTGCACTTGTTCAAGTTATTTTTACTAAAAATTATTACATGTATTAATGAATACACCAGTATATAATAATACTACAATGTAATTTATACTTCATTCACTTGGAGCATGCAAAGTGCTTATATGTGTAAGAATTTGCCTTAGTTAGATCCACAGCTCTCACATAGGAAATTGGAACTCCCTTTCCTTTTACAAATCCTAGTACATAGAGATTTAGGTTTCCAGTTTGTGAAATGAAATGAAATGCAAATAAATTGCATTATATTTTAGATATTCATGCGTCTCAAACTTTAATACTGGGCAAGTGGAAATCATGCATCATCAATTTACAAGTGACTGGACATCACAAGGACTGTCAAGGAGACTGCGTCTGTATATGTACAATTTAATGAGGATATGATAGAAATCTGTTAGTCTTCACATGTAGGCGAACGTTGCTAATATGAGGTTATTAAGGAAACCGCAAAGTCAAGAATTCGAACTATCCTAGATTCCAGAATAGGCTCAACTATACTTAATTAATATTCTGGTAAAGAACTCAAGAAAGTGACATGGCAATTCAACAATGCATATACAACAGAAAGACATATTTCCATAACAAGACAAATCTTACTGAATTAGTATTTGCTGATATTTTAATTTTTTAATAAAAGTTATATACAGTGCTATTTTAAGTTAAATAACAAAGTTACTCGTTTCAAAATCTGGTCTTTGTTAATTTTCATTCTGTGCACGTACTTTGCGAGGGTAGAGAAATGGGGTGGCAATATGCGTCCTCACATGCGGCTGATATGTTCTCAATGTGTTAGGATCTCACTCATTTCAAAAAGTAAGCCTTGGAGGTTTCTGGAAATCGATTTCATTCATACTGCAACAACCGCTCTCCTGCATCTAGACGACGAATACCACATCAGTCAATGAAGTAAAGCCTCGCTTGGCACATGTTCCGTCAGTCTGCTGGCTAACCAACATCTAATTCAGGATTCTCTACGGTAAAACTGATTGACGAACCTTTTCACCCACTCTTTTAGTTAGACATTCTCTTTCTAAGACTAGGAGAATGGTCTCTAATTGTTTATAATATGCAGTTTTTGACATACATGCATGGCATGTTCATAATGCTGCATAGTGTAGCCAGTCCGTCGTAGCCTCCGCCAAATTTTACTTCCTGAGTTCTGTCGCGGAATTGAAGAACTTCCACAACAAAAACGCGGCATTTATAAATGGTTCTGGTCAGTTTGTATGAATTGGTGGGTGGTAAAATCGCCGGCAGATTAGCATAGTCAAACATTTTTTGCACGAGCCATTGTTTCTTCCTATATATAAAAGAGTAGTTTTAACCCACAATCGCTACTCTTTACGTTACCATGGCAACATGATGTTACCATCTATATGGCCTATATCAACCAAAAAAGCCGTCTTAGCGGACAAATAACGTGGGTGACCTACCTTTTTTATTGCAGAAAATACATTGTTATGAGTTTTGAATCTCTTTTGAAAGTTATTTGAAAATCGTCAGTGTAGTTTTCGAGAAACTGAACTTCAGCCTTTAAGATTGCATTTTAGTCTTTGGAAAGCCTGAAATTCAGTTTCTCGAAAACTACACCGCGATTTTCAAATAACTTTCAAAAACGATTCAAAACTTCATAACAATATATTTTCTGCAATAAAAAAGGTAGGTCGCCATGGTTATTTGTCCGCTAAGATGGTGACGTCATGTTGTCATAGTAACATGAAGAGTGGCGATTGTGGGTTAAAATTACTCTTTTATATAAGAGGAAACAATGGCTTGAGCAAAAGATTAGTTTTTTAAATTCAAATAGCTTTTAGTTTAAAACACTTGAAGAAACAACCTTCTCGAATTTTGTATGTTTATTTTAACAAAGACGATGAAAGAGTCCTAGGTAAATACAATGAATAGAAATTATAACTGTGAACGTTCTATACATAAATATAGCTACATAAACAAATAGGATAAATACAAAGTAAGGAATACTTACAATAATATAGAAATACTACTTGAAACTAGCGTATTACAAACAAACAATATCTGATGAACTAATATGAAAGACTTAAAATATAAAACCAATGTAAACAAGAGAGCGAGTCAGCGGTTACACTAACTAGTCCTACATAAGTACTTCATGTAAACTCTTCATCCCCCCCAGTACGGAAACCTATAGTGTAGCATAGGATGACGGACTCAATGTTCTATCCATGTGCCTGTCTCAGGTTCGAATCGTTTCGGTGGCCGGCATTCACGCCTTGGGCGTGTGGACTGACTCGATGGTGGTGGCTGCGAAGTTGGTGTGAGGGGTATGTGCGGGGCGACGGGTGGTAAGTCACTTGGGGCACCTTGATCGGGGGGATCCAGACTGTCGATCGGTGCTGGGTTCGCTACAGGTGTGTTGCAAGGTGAGGTCTGTCCTGGGGTATTCTCTGGTGTTGGCAAGGGCGCCGTGGGAAATAGGTAGGGTGTTGAATTCTGCTGATCGGTGCAGCTGGTGGGCAGGGATGGTTCTGCCAGCGGCAGTTTGGTGGAAGGAGTCGCTGGTGTATAGGCGCGGAGGAAACGACGGTTGCGCAGTGTGAGTCGTCCGGAACCATCCACTTTTACCCTATATTGGTCGTGACCTGGTGCTTCAACAACTGTTCCTGATCGGTCCCATTTGGTCGGACTGGCGCCTTTCTGGTTCTGGAGGAATACTCTCTCACCGATGGTCAATGGGCGGAGTGGTCTTGAATGGGCTCTCAGGGATTCAGTGTTGCGGGCAATCCGTGTTCGGAGGGCTTCCTCCCTTGCTGTCCATGCCTGACGCCAAAGGGGGTTTGGGTTGGAAAACTTTTCCAGTCGGTTAACAAAAGACAGTGTGTCCCGTAAGGGGTGGCCGAAAATTATTTGTGCTGGTGAAAGGTTGCAATCTGGATCAGGGGTATTGCGCAATTGCAACATGGCTCTCAGGAATCGATCATGGTCAAGGCTGCCGGTTGGCCCTGTGTTAGACATTAGAAGGCGCTTGGCTGTTTTCACTGCAACTTCGGCTCTACCGTTGGATTGAGGGAAGGCGACGGAGGAGACACGGTGCTTGACGCCCCATAGGCGAAGGAAGTCCTCAGTATGGCTTACCATAAACTCTGGGCCACCGTCGCTTGAGAGCTCCTCTGGTACCCCAAACGTTGCAAAGAACGAGCGGAGATGTTGAACGAGGCCCACCGATCCGCCGAGGTTGGTACCTGCTGTTGAGCTCAGCACCTCTACCCAGCCGGACAGGCGGTCGCCTACCACTAAGTAATGTCGTCCTCCATAGTCAAAGAAATCATAGAATATTGCTTCAAAGGGGGTTGACGGTGGTGGAGTGGGGAGAGGTGGTGTGGCAGCTCAAACTTAATCCCAAAAAAGCTCATGGTCCGGATGGCATACCGTCGTGGCTCCTAAAAGAAAACGCAGATCTATTAGCTGGTCCGATAGCGGCCATCTTGAACTGTTCATATCGGGAATGTACCCTACCGCCAGTTTGGAAGAAGGCGGACGTAGTTCCAATACCGAAAGAAAAGCCCATCCAGGATATCAACCGTCAGTTACGCCCTATTTCACTTACACCTATTCTATCGAAACTCGCAGAAGAATTTGTTGTAATGATTTATGTGAAGCCAGCAGTGATGGAATTGATCGATAGTAAACAATTTGGGACGGTGCCGGATAGTTGTACGACATATGCTCTTATAAGCATGCTACACACTTGGAATAAGGATACGGATGGTAACGGTTCAACAACTCCAGTTATGACGTTTGACTTCCGTAAAGCATTTGATTTAATAGACCACAATATTTTATCGGAGAAGTTAACAAAGTATAACATACCGAGGTCTGTCATGCTTTGGATCTTAGACTTTCTAACTGACCGAGAACAGAGGGTAAAACTCAGCCAAGATTGCCATTCCGAATGGGGCAAGGTCCCAGCCGGCGTCCCCCAAGGCACAAAGCTCGGCCCATGGTTATTTTGTATTATTATTAATGATCTAAGCGTTAAGGACGTTAATGAGTTATGGAAATATGTTGACGACTCATCCTTGTCGGAATCAGTTTGTAGAGATGGTCCAAGTAACTTACAAAAGTACGTAGATGAATTTAACCAGAAATCAACAGCTAACGGTTTTCAGATAAACGAATCAAAATGCAAAGAGTTGTGTATAAGCTTTGCACCAAGCATACGTGAGTTTCAGCCAATTACTATTAATGGGAAAATTGTCGAACGTGTAACATCGGTAAAATTGCTGGGTCTAACCATCTCAAATAACTTGAAGTGGAATAGTCATATTTCACACGTTTGTAAAAAGGTCGCACCTCGTCTATATTTTTTAAGACAACTAAAACGAGCGAAATTACCAGCTAACGACCTAATCCCTTTCTACTCCACCTGTATTCGACCAGTCATCGAGTATGCGTGCCAAGCATTTCACGACTCATTACCCAAATACCTGTCTGATGATCTTGAAAGACTTCAGAAACGAGCTTTTCGAATAATATTCCCAGATCAACACTACAAAGAAGCATTGAGGAACACGAACACCCCATCACTGTACGATAGAAGACAGGAATTAACAACAAAACTTTTTAAGGACGTAGTAAATAATCCTGAGCGCAAATTAACGGATTTGTTACCGCCATTAAATAATGACAATAGTCATTTTTTGCGTAAAAATAGGAAATTTAACGTGCCACTTCATAAAACGAACAGATTTAGGAACAGTTTTATCACTTATAACTCTAATAAGTTTTTTGAATAACTTAGAAACTGTTTTTACCGCGAATATGCTGGTTTTTAACCTAATCTAAATTAGCATTAGTGAGTGTTTTAGTAACAAATTATAAGTCTGCGCATACAGTATATATATGTGAATGTGTATTTTTAAGTATTTAGTCTAATCTTATTCGTTTTCTTAAACAAATACATGTAAAATTAGTTTTAATATCCTTGTAAACCTAACATATTTCAGCAGTGGAATTAGTTATATTCTGGAGCTGTAAGTTTTAGTGTCAAATAAACTATCAACTAACTAACTAGCCTGTGAAGGGGCATTTCGGTTGCAGTCTGCACATCTTTCTCTGGTTTCGCGAATGTCCTTTGACATCCCTGGCCAGTAGACTATAGCGCGTGCACGTTGTTCCATGGCTGTCACTCCTTGGTGGGCTGCGTGCAGATGCTGTATAACGCGGTGGCGAAGGGACGAGGGTACCACAACGCGGTCTTGGTACAGCAGGACACCCTCTTGTGCGTATGTAGATTCGCAGATGGGCCAGAGGCTGGCGAGTATAGGGTCGTTTCTGTCAAAACTCTGTGTGCCCTGCTCTATCAGCTTAAGTAGATGGCTCAGGGATGTGTCCGCCGCGGTTTCTTGTGCGAGAAGAGGCCATGAGATTGTACCAAGCTCTTGAGCATCGTGTCGGATGGAGGCCATTAGCGCCGATTCGACAAAGTCTGGGTAACTGGACAATCCGAGCGAGGCAGTGTTCACTGAGCCTGATGGGGAGGGGTGTCTTGATGTTGCGTCAGCAGCGAGGTTCGTCTTGCCAGGTAAGTGCTTGATGTCGAAACGCCACTGGAGGGTGCGCTGCTTGAGCCAGAACAATCGCGAGTTGGATATCTCGTCCAGCGTGCGGTCACCAAAGATCTTCACAAGTGGTTTGTGGTCCGTGATTACGACAAGGTTGTCGCACCCTTGTGTAAAGTAGCGTGTCTGTTCAAGACCCCATGCCACAGCAAGTGCTTCCCCTTCAATCGCGGCGTAGCGTTCCTCGGCTGAAGAGAGGAATCGTGAGCCGGCCAAGGTGATGTGCCATCCACCAAGGCAGCATTCTGGTATACCAGAAGGGCAGCTGCAGTGCTGCTGGAGCAAGAAGTAACCAATAACTCGTAGTCTTGACCAGTCTGGGCGGAGACAGGTTCGCTTATGTATATCAAAGATCTCCACCCCCTTGCGGATGGCTTCCACGATGGCTTCTTTCGATGTTGTAAAAGCCTCTTCCAACTCGGGTGACCAGTGGAATTTGCAGCGAGGACTGAGGAAGGGTTTAAAGGGGGCCATTATGTCGCGTAGCTGTGCGTAGTTGGTGACCTGATTGACAAGGCCGAACCAGCTCCGAATATCTGTGGTGGAGATGGGGGAGGGGAAGTCTCTGATAGCATCAAGGTATTTCGGGAGTGGTTCGATGGTTGAGGATGACACTCTGAAACCGGCAAAGTCTACGCTCCGTTGTGCAAATTGGAACTTATCGGGGTTTAGCACTATGCCGGCTTGTTCAACACGTGTGAGCAAGTCAATGGTCCTCCACCAATGTTGCTCCAAATCAGTGTCGTAGTGGATTGTGTCGTCGACGCAGCGTTCCTTACGCACAAAGGCCGACAGGACGGCATCTAAACGGCGATTGTATCCATCCCCTGATGATAGGAAACCCTGGGGTGCTCTCAGGTAGCGCCAACGGCCAAATTATAAATGGCGTGATGAAGGTGGTAAGATGTGGTAGCCATTCCAGGCATCCGTGACTGTTTTCCACGTCTCTTTGGGGATGCGACGTGCGAGGTGGGAGGGTGACTCCATGGCAAACGTTTCTCGCTTGCAAAACTTATTTAGTGGCGAGAGATCGACTGTGCGACGTGGGGAACCATCGTGCTTCCGTGTTACAACCATCCGATGGCACCATTTCACGGGTTCGCCATAAGGCACACGCTCAATGACACCAAGGGCTTCATCTCGAAGGAGGTCGTCATGCACTTGCTGCTGCCAGTGTAGGGGTATGTTGGCTGGTGTATGGCAAGCCTTTGGAGTGGCGGTCGCGTCGACGTGCATCTCGATAGATGGCCCCTCCATGCATGGTAATGCCCGATGTGGGCACGTGTTGAATGTGGACGAAGAGTATCGAGCAAGTAGCCATGCCTTCATGCGATCATTATTTTCTGGTGTACAGGGGAATGGCAGGACCGGCGGACGTGGTGGAGCAACTTCACGCTGGGGGCACGAGCATGGGTCATGTGGAGTGTTGGGCGCATTACAACCATTGTTGAGTGACCGTGCGGCATTGATAGATGCAGGGTCAGTTGAAGCATCGGAGTCGGCGATTTGGGTCCTTTCACTGGGTGTGCCTGCATTATCCATGGATGGGAAATCATTTGCAAGAAGGCCGAGGTTAAGTAACGTCTCATAAGACAAATACATGGCTTGGACAGAGCTGCTGACATACACCATAGAGTGGCACGACATCACATTGCCGCTGTGGGGTGTCGTTGTGATCTTTGCAAAGAATGCTCCTTCGATGGAGATAGGGGAGCGGTTTGCGGCTGACAGGCTAAGGCTAACAGGCCGTAGTTCATCACGTGAGAATCCACAGGCAAGGAAATCATCAAGGGACCACAGGTCGGATTGTGCTCCGGTATCGGCAACTGCTGATACCACAGTGTCACGGCCCGAGGCATGGCTAGGGCTGGTGATTCTGGTGTCGGCTGACTTGGCAACAGAGATGGTGACTTTGACTCTAGGATGATCTAACAGGCGGGCTCGCTTCCATTCGCCTTTGGAGAATATATGGTGGTCAAGTCTTGTGGCTAAAGCTTTGTTGATGTTGCCATGTGGGGTTGAGGCACGTGTATGATGTCGTCGGTGTCTGTCTGTCTGGGCGGTTTGGAATACTGCCACCTGGGATATGGGGTCTTGCTCTATGGCCTGGAGGCTGGGCTTATTGTCATGGGGCAGGCGGGGTTGGCGTTTTTTCCTGCGGCGAGTTCTGTAGCAATTGATGCACAATTGGTGAGGTTTGGTGTTCCACCCACGGGCTCCCTCTGTAAATACTTTAAAGGTGTGCTTGCAGTCTGGGCATGTTGCCTCCTTCGTTTGATCCACTTGGGACGGGGTGGTGGCGGTGGTTGTCGTCGGGTTCTTTTGGCGCTGAAACGACGACACAGCAGACAGGGTTGATGATGGGAGGGCATTGCGGGCCATCTCCTTGTTTTCAACAAGGGCAATCACATCATTGACTGGTTTTTTGAGGATGTCGGGCGTCCCCAGGATTTCACGGCGGATGTCTGGGTCAGATAGGCCATTTAAAAGAACGTCACGGATGACATTATCTGTGTAGTCGACGTCCTTACCACACTCACATTCTGCTGTGAAGGCACACGTCTCGGCTTTCCCTCGCACCCTGGCTGTAAATGTACGAAAAGCCTCATCCCTTTCTTGACGTAGTTGAAGAAGTTCAGTCTGTGATACACAGGTAGCAACAGGAATGACTGCCAAGGACCGCATGGCGGTAAGCAGTTCGTTGAGGGTACCGGAGGCTGCATTGGAGTTCGCTTTTAGGAGGCTATCACCTAGCTCGGTCCCGGCACACTGAAATAATTGGTATGGGGCCGATGTATCATTGATCCCAGATCCGGTTCGAAAAACCTCCCATCACCGGACGAACACATTCCAGTCTTCAATGGACACACCGACATCTATTTTGGGTCACTCAAGTTTTGGGCCTTGAAATGTGGGTGCTGGTTGCGTTGACACGGCAGGCACTGTGTTTTGATGGGCCAGACCATGGTTTGATAGAAGAGCTATGGCGAGTGCCTCTGAGACATTATTAGTTTTGAAATCGCATTGTGGGACAGAGCATTCTACAACAACCATGACTCTTTCATGAAGAAATGACCCTCTCGAATTTTGTATGTTTATTTTAACAAAGATGATGAAAGAGTCCTAGGTAAATACAATGAATAGAAATTATAACTATGAACGTTCTAGATGCAAATATAGCTACATAAACGAATAGGATAAATACAAAGTAAGAAAGACTTACAATAATATAGAAATATGACTTGAAACTAGCGTATATTAAAAACAAACAATGTCTGATGAACTCATATAAAAGACTTCAAATATAAAACCAATGTCAACAAGAGAGCGAGTCAGCGGTTACACTAAATAGTCCCCCACATAAGTACTTCATGTAAACTCTTCACTTTTTATAGAATAAATTTTCTCAGGGGGCACCAAAATTTTACCAGGGGGGGGGGCGGGTCCCCCGAGCCCCAAAATGGCTACGCTAAAGGCGTACATGAACAACGAAATACGAGTGTTTGAGGATTGGTTGATACAAAAACAGAGTCATAATGAGGTTCCAGTCAGTGTAACTCAGAATTGGTACGTTGGCCCTTGAGGCAAAGAGTTAACCTCCGTTCTTTGGCTTAATAATGGATTAGACGCAAAGCCAATAAACAACCATTACCTGGACTAATAAAATTAATTGACGGGAAAAGATTTAGAGAATAAATAAGATTGTAAATACCAAGTAATACTTAGTTTATGGTATATAGTCATTTCTTTGTTTAGCACCACTTCTTCCCCACCCCCGGCCCTCTCCTGTAAGCAATTAATGTATAAAATCGTGGATTGAAATTGTATTTGAAACTTGAAAGATAATTATATTTTACGGAAAATCACAGTACTCGATGTTGCATATTTAAAGAGAATAAAACGTGCAAACAGATTCTTTGTGTATATTAGACCCTCCTTCCCCCCCCCCCAAAAAAAATGATAAATTACGGTATGAGTTCTAGAACGTTTACAGGACCATACGCAGAATGTTTTCATCAGCTGGGGGCAGTAAGGCCTATATGCCGAAAAACGTCACAAATATCCAATGAATAATTAAAAATGATATTCTAAAAATTGTAAATATAGTTTTTTCTAAGAAGGGGGGGGGGGGGCAGTTGCTCCCCTGCCTCCCCGCTGTGTACGGTCCTGAATGTTTAGGATTGTGATAATATTTAAAGCCTGAAAAACAAATTTGCTTGCAAACGTTATGCAATTGCTGTAGTACAAAATAACATCATATTTTAATTAATATTTTAAATAAGTTATTATTGTAATGTTGGCTTGGAAGTGTTCCTGGCGAGGGCTCGATACGGTACATTGCTCAGAATGTTTGGTAAACTCCATTAAAATGCACAGAACATAAAAATATCATATACTTTTAAAATATTCCGATGTCATCTTGTTTTACTTCAGCCCTGTTTTCACACATTTCATATTTTTTTCTAGTCCAGTCCTAGATTGAGATCAGTTTTTCTTATCTGCGCTTGCGCATTATGTGTTTTGTGCTCAAGCGCATGCATATTTGCAACACAACAATGGCGGTTCATGGATTCTGAAACACGAGGAAGCGTGAACTTTGAAGAGCTTGTACTTCAATTTGTGCAACTATTTCGCTTGGGGGGAAGTGGATTGTAACTAAGTAAGTTATAATCTATAGATTCATGTAAAAACTATGTAGTTACACGAGGGGTGCTACAGAATTGAACATTTTCGACCCTCATCCAACGGCCTAGTTTGGTCACCAGTGCCGGCACCAGTTCAACTATGTCGAAGCGCCGTAAGTCTTCAAAACCCGATACCTTCTCCGTGGAAAGTTTGTGCGATGAAGCTGAAAAAGAAGTAAACCAAGAGGTAACCGCTGCCAAAATCTTGAACGATCTTGGTTCCATCAAGCTGGATGCAGTAGAAAATGTTCCTGTTGTCGTTATTCTTTGTGCTCTGATTGTCAAATTTGGTGTATCCATCGTTTGTGCTATGGCTTGTGTTGTACCATCATTGCGCATTTTACCTACGTCTGTCTGTTGTGAAGTCCTGAAGCTACTATGTCCTTCATTGCCTGAGGATGAAGCAAATAACATTTATCAATGCTTGTCAAACATGCCCAACCATTTCGGCTCAAACACCAGTAAGGTCCATGTTTTTGCACCCCCATGCAGTCGTTGTCTTGAATGTGACTCAAATCTTGTACGTCAGAACGATCCCGTAGAGATCAAGTATAATACTCTGAATGGGACAAACGAAGGTATAAAAGTTTCCCTCAAATGCAATAAGTGCAGTAAACGTTATGGCTACGCAAAATTTGGCAACCCAACAGATGGCTGGAAATTGTACCCTGAGTCCAGAAGCTCAGTTGAGACATCAGATGTATGTTTTGTGGATCGGTCACTGTGAAAGTGGCAAATATCTCTAGAGTAAGTTGTTTTTTAGTTTGCACAGTAGTCACTATCATATATCACTGAATGAGATCGCGGATACTATAGGCTTAGTCTGAAAATCCAGGACCAGACCTGTCAAGTTCGCCCATTGCGTTTTGTTAGACTTGCTGAACCTGACTGGTCTTTAGTAGTCTCATATAATTATTTTCAGTTATAAGAGTTATAGGTGGAAATTATCAAGTGGAATTTATATACATTTATAAGACCTGTTCAGTTATAGGACCTGTAAGACCTGTGAAAAACACAACTATCTGTCCCGCACAGGAATCGAACCTGCGCAGCCCTGCGGTTCCGGTGCGGCGCTCTAACCGAGTTACAGAGGCCAGTTCGATTTCTGTCAGGGGACCGATAGTTGTGTTTTTCGCAACTGTTCCTGAACAGGTCTTATAAATCGATACTTTCCACCTATAACTCCTTTCAAGTATATTAGTCATACGAGTGTGATGCCAACAAAATCTCAGCCTATTTTCAGTTATAATCTTTCTATATTGAAGACTACTATAAAGTCAGAAAAGTTCTTTCAGTTAGAAAATCGATAAAAACGGATATCGTGTAGCACACATGAATGCAATAAAACGCACACAGCGAATAAGGGAAAAAGGAAAGAAACTAAGGGAGAAAGGTATAAATGTATATTGTATATTCGGTTGCAGTTGTCATTCATGGGTATCATTTAACAGATTCTCAGAGGCCTATAATGAAGTTCACGAAGGAAGGAAGTACAAAAGCTTGCCCACGTATGCACGTGCCTCTTGAGCTACATCATCCGGCCAGTAAGTAGCATACTAAAACAATACCGTAAACCTCAGAATATAAGCCCCCCCAAATATAAGCCCCCCCCCCCGTGTATAAGCCCACCACATGTACTAATGCTCACCTCATTCCAAATATAAGCCCCACCCCCTGAATATAAGCCCACCCGAATATTGTTTATCACTATTGTTTATCACTATTAATCACTATTATTACTATGCTTAAATATGCAATTTATGCAATGTAATAAATTGTGGTTAATGAAGTAATATGTCAAAGAAGACTCTATTTGCCTTATGGAAATGCCAATCTGTCATCAAAACTACTGCGCTTGGAAAACAAGGCATTACTTTCTAATCATGCTGCCAAAAGAGATTGAACCTTGGCAACAGCACGTGAACAAGTGATGCACTTGGGTTTAATCAATCAACCCTTCTTAAATATATCCGCCGCAACAATACAATGGCCCCAAGCTGAGTGAAAGACATTTAGTTACAGGCTATATGCTTCACGCCTCATTTGCAATATTTTAACCAGAGCGTAAGCTACCAAAACCTGGTATACAACCACCCCTGAGCCGAACCTGCCTGCTTATACTATCTATAGATCGACATGCTTTCGATCTATACAATCCAATTCAGCCTAATTGCTTAATCATTTATGTAAATATATAACTTATTCATCTGTACCAGAATTGCAGAATGAAATAAATAAATAATGGCAGGGAAGTGCTGTCCTTTTGGACAACCCTTCGCCACATGAAGTGTATTTTTACAGGTCATTCAGGTCCCACAGTCGCAGTGCGACCTAATGACCTGACCTAGAGACTTGATGGGCAAGTCATTTCAGTTGAGTTACCATCAGTTGTTCACCAGTTCAACTAGTACTCAACATCAACGAGCTGACCGACCTGAACGGTGGTTCGCCTGTTCCCCTGTTATCTAGAGGTTCACCTGTTCCTCTATGAAAAACCTACAGTTTTTGCATGCTCTGTCAGGTCTTGAGTACCCATACTGTCTCAGTATACCAATGGTGGTCCCCAGACTATCAGGACTCATATGTCGCTGAACAACATGCACAGAGCCGCATCACTCCCTCTGCAATCTAGAGGTCTGCCTGTTCCTCTAGGTAAAACGTAGGTTAGCGAGAGCCTCTAGACCGTTCGAGCACTTCCTTGCCCATAATATATGCCACAAAAACCTGTCTGTTGTGTGTGTGTTTTTTTCTTCTCTTTTTCTTGGGTTATTTTCAAACTGTGGCTTGGATGCCAGTTATTTCAACATATTAAACTTCAGTAACACTTGTTTATCACTATTACTACACTTGTTTATCACTAGTACACTAACACAAAAGATCGTCCATGTATAAGCCCCCCGTATATAAGTCCCCCCTTGTATAAGCCCATCAAAAATCGCTTATGAAAGAATATAAGCCCAGGGCTTATAGTCGGAGGTTTACGGTAGACCCCCTTTCGATAATTACGTCACAACTATTCGCTCTCATCAGTAAAAGACGATTGACTCATGATTCATGAGAGCGAGGCTTGTAGGCTAAATGACGTAATTATCGAAAGGGTGTATTTCACAGTACTCTGACCGAAATTCCGCAAATTAACTAGTCTGCGTGCATACACTTCGTGTATGATAATGTAGCATGGCCTTGTGTGTAAATAGACCTTAGAATTACGTCACGCCAGTGTGAAACAATGGATTGAAATGCAATGTGGAAACCTTGTACCATAAAATTTACCAAATGTTTCTATGAATTGAAAACTGGGTAACATATGTCTATGTTTTTGGATGTATAACAATTAATAATCACTAATCCTAAATGTAACATTCATGTGTGTCTAAATAGATTTTGGAGAAAAACAGGTGGCTGCAGCATTTTGGAATGGCGAGCTGGAGAATGAGTTGAGAGAGCTCGGCATTCTGGACTTTTTTGGAAAGTTAAGAACAGATAAAGATAGAGAGGAAGTCATGATGGAGATTGATAAGATTTGAGCAAAAACTATCTACGAACATCCACAAGAAGAATGTTCGGATGTTTGTAAGGAGCGTGGTAAGAACTGACATTGTGTCTATTGATCCAGAACTATCTCTATATTCTTCATGTATATATTCTCTCTAAATAATATGTTCTTGTAATAACAATTAAGGATGCGGAAAGCTTTGGGTAGCCCAATTTATTCCCAAACAGACTTATTAAAAGGGTCATAAATTACTACAAGTTAATGTTATGAGTAGCATGTGTGTGTGTTGTGAGATGTTTTGTATTTTTTGCTTTCCCGGATGAGACCCATTTGCTTGATAATTACATCTTGAACAACACATTTACCAAAGTGAACAAATATCATCATATTTCCCAGCGGTAAACAATAATGGTTTATACGGCAGCGAGAATTGAACATGTTACATTTACCAAACCAGCCCGAGCACAATATGTATATATAGACATATTACATTAAAGTTGTCTTTTCACTCATATTCGCTCTATCTTGACTATTATGGATTCTAAACAGGTAATGTAGATTTAATTGAAAAAGATCGGGATGCAGTGACAAGCATCTTGGATGACTGTGTGGAGACAAATCCAACTTCATGCAATAAGGAAACCGGGGGAAACAGAGACTTCAGAAGTGGTCGAGAGGACATCTGTTCATAGTGCGAGGAGGAGGGATCATTGACAAGTGGAGCCCTCTTTTTAAGTAAGTAAATTATTATAATTGGTAATAGTGCAGTAAGCAGTAGGTAATAGTGCAGTTTAGGGGCTTCGGTGGCCAAGTGGTTAGCGCACTTGCCTTTAACCTCTAAGGTCGCAGGTTCAAGCCTCAGTGAGAACTTTCTCAATGCAACTCGAACCCAGTCCTCATGTGAAAAGAGTAAAAGTCAACGCTCTACCGAAAGTTGTGGGTTTTCTCTGGGTACTCCGGTCTCCTCCGGGTACTCCGGTTTCCTCCCACAGGTAAAGTTTGACAGGGTGGGTTAGGTAAAAAAGGGCCCACAGTAATTGACATATGCTGTTGTGGTGACCCTGCCCTAGTTGGCAAAGCGAAATAAATAAAGCATGGCTACATCTTATGTACTAAATAGTATTTAGACATAAATAGCTATATACATATTATAATATGAGTATTATAAGGTTTATTATACTCATATAACCCATTACCAACATTTTTCTTATTATGGAAAATTGGACTCGCTCTGTAAGTCTGAACAAAGTTTGTGGCAATGTTCCTGAACTTCATCTTACTAACTAATTAATACTATTACAACATTTTACCATGTTTAGATCAGAAAGCCCATCACAAGTGTTATCATCATTATCTCATGGCTCTGCGTGATTTTAAAAACAATAAACCCAGTGAATTGGTGCAAAGTCTTCCTTTCATACGATAATATGTGCCACTTAGACGGCTTGAGGGCTGCCAGAAAAGAATTACCATGGTCTGCACCAACGGTCTGGAACAACGCCTGGATGTCTATCCAGAAAATCATAGATAGTCTTCATATACGAAACCACAAAGACAGTAGATGTAGAGAAAATTATGATCCAAGCTCATTCAAAAAGGAACTTCCAAAAGGTAACACTATGGCTGCTGAACAGACGTTTGTATGGCTGTCAAGATTCAAAAAGGTGCTTTGTGCCATGCCAAAGGTTCATCACTTGTTTTACCTGCACAGAATAGTGAAACATAGAAACAAATATACTGTTCGCTGCTACAAGAAAGGGAAGAGTCCATTATTGCCAAAAGCTCGCAACACCAGTGGCTGAGTTGGTAAACCTATACATAGACTAATTACTGCTGTAACTGCCCTTCTATACAGGGACGTAAATCGCTCGATAATTGGGGGGAACCATATTCATATATTCATGTTTTGCATCATTAATTTCTTTTGAAATCAATTGTTTTTACGGTTTGTGAACATGAACCATATGGTCCCCCCCCCCAATTATCGAGCGATTTACGCCCTATACCCTAGTTATGCTAATGATATTGGCATTCATTTGAAATACAGTAGTTTATCAGATGAGGTTGAGTTGTAGCAAGTCTGGAAATACAGTTGTTACAGTACAGTTGCCAAAATATAATTATCACTTAATATTGATTGGTACCCAGAGAAACAGAGTTTCTTTGCCCTCAGAAAATATTGTTGTTCAATGCAGCGTCAAGTTAAATAACAGTGATCACATAGCCACAAA